GGTGCCACAAAAATCAGTGCACTAGCTTGTAAGTGACTGTTCAATATGCTCAGGAAAGATTGATGGGACTCTTGATGCCATGAAAATCACTGCCGACAAACACACGTCAGGTCAATATAAATTTTTAGAGTCTGACTTGTGGGTCCACAAGCATCAGTGAGGGTACTATTTCCTAGGCATCATTAAACTCTGAATGGTTTATGTGTCCTCCTGAAAGCAAAATGGAATAGGATCAATAGAAGTAGCCTGCAAAACCTGGCTGGAAGAAAGATGGAGAGGTGAAGGACAACTCAGAGATGACCTGGCAGAGTTTTCAATTATGTCCATTTGAAAAAAATACTAAGCTCCTTTAGCTCACTGTTACCTAACCTCTCTGTCAACAGTGTCCTTTTTCTAATGAACTATTAAGCCATATAATATAATTTCTCATTTGAGCAGAGAGAACAGTTACATAATGACTATCTCCATCAACCTCTGCCAACAGCCTATCTGTTAACTTACAGCAAATTTCTGTAAAAACTACCCTATTGATCCTAGAAAAGGACACTTTAGCTCAGGAGCATAAATGGACCATCTGGGGGGTGCCTAGAAAGAACTGGAAGTGATTTTTTCCATGCAGGTGTATGATTTTGTTGCACCTGGCTCTGCCCATTTTATATTTTCCTTCCCAGATACAGTGCAGGGAAATGAAGCATTTCCTAAGCTGATTTATTAAGTTCTTTCCCTAACCCTCTGTACCGGAAACACGTGATTTCAAAGCTTTATGTGTTCCCCAAACTTAGAATGCTTAACATATTTCATCAGCAGAGTTGATTATTGGGGACGAGGACATTTCATCTGTCTTAAATCACAAGTTGTCAAGAAGATCTGCGCTTTTTTGTGTAGTAATTTATTCCTAAATAATGATCTTTTAGAAAAATTGACTACTTTTCCTTTTCTTTCTGACGTTTTTGTCATTCTCAGATTTAAAGAAATACAATATAATCTTTTGTGCTGTTTGTGAAAATCAAGGGAATCTTTCTACATGGCAGTGAGTGACTTTCTATACTTGGTCGGTGGTATTATATTTTACAATCTCCAATTTGGAAAGCTGTTCAGTTCAATATGTATGGGAGTTTCCTGAAAAGGAACTGCCATTCTTTCCCTAGGATTTTGTAAATTGTGTTTAAAACTGACAGACCCCTACAGTGGCTTTTAAGTCCCTTTAGCTTTTAAATCTAGATGGGTGAGCTTTTTACTATCAAGACTGAGAGAAGGTAAATGAAGAGGGATTCCAAAAAAAAGGAGGCCCTAGAAACAATTTATTCATCGAATGCCATTAGCTTTTTGAACTTTACATTAATTTGGGAAAGATTAAAATGTTTTAGGTATTTACAAGCAGAAACAAGCATAACTTAGTTGGTATCTGAAGAATTTAGTTGCTTGGAGAAATCCACTTGTTAGTGATTAAACATTAAATTTCATGGGAAAAAAATGGACTGAACACACTATAAGACAGTCACTATGCTAAAAGCTGTAGGTTTATAGAGATCAGTAAGACTAAGCTCTTGCCCTAGAAGTGGAGGAGAGAGGAGGCTGAACCAAGTAATTATAAGTTTGATTGTATTGTAGGCCTTAAGTGGGAAATAAATAATAATATGGTGAATTCATAAGTTTAGTTTTGGGTGTAGGGACATCATAAAGCACTTCATATAAAAGTGGAAATTACGATGAACTTAGAAACTTGAAAAACAGTAGGTTACATGTTGCTGGAATTTCTTGAGTAAGAACATTAAATATATTCCTTGTCTAAAAATGTAAGGAGGTTAGTCACAGGTTGGACATAGATAAGTTTTGGGAAATGAGGTTGGAAATGTAGTCTTAGGATATGTTGAAAACCAAGATAAGAAATATTGACTCAAATACTTAATTAGTTCAGAGCCTCTAAATGTGTTTGAATATAGGAATTACATGACCAGGGTCATAAATTAGGAAGATCAATCCATCAACAGTATATAGATCAAACTATCACAGACTGGGGAGATAAAAGTTGAAGAAAATAGGTCAAATGTTATTGCAAATCAGAAAGTATGTCAAAAAAATGGAAAGAAGGGTCTGAGGAATTGCTTTAAGAAAGAAAGCTTGTGATTTGACATATTATTGACAAACAATGAGGGATAAAGTGACTAAGATGTACAGAGAGGGTTATTTAAATACCTGAAGTAGGGAAATAACTTGGGAACATGAGTAGGGAAAGACAGGTAAGGAAGAAAATGATATAGTTTGTTTTGGATATGGTAAGTCTGAAATTCTAATAAGATACTCAAATAGAAACACTAATAGTGAATTAAAATCTTCCAATGGTAAATTGAAAATTCCCCTGGCTGGTGAGGGGATAAATGTTCTTTATTCTTGAATCCTAGGAATTCTTAGTCCTGCCTATATTAAGATTAACAACATAGAGAAGCACCCTCAATGGGAAGGAAGATGGCAGAATAGAAGGGCAGGCAGAACCTCCTCCTGCATACACACCAAGTAGGCAACTATAGCAAATACAGCTCACCTTGAAAAGGACCTGAAGACTGCAGAACAGACCACCTGCACCTGGAAAAGAAGAGAAAACCACATTGAAAAGGGTAACGGGAAAGAGCCACAATCAATGGGGATCCAAGCCTTCCCCTATCCCAGCCCCCAAATAGGAGGGAAAGGAAAGGAACAGGGAGGGGATAAATGTTAAGGAATCCAGCACACCTAGCTCTGGAGAGTTGCTCTGGGAATAGGAGCCCACATTGCACTGGGCTTTGATGATTAATGGAGATGGACACCAGGAAGAGCTGGAACACTGTGGGAAGCTGAGACTCCTGCTGTCCGGAGGAACCAGCACACTTTGTTGGTTCAGCTAAGACCCAACACCAAAGTGGCAGGTTTAAAGATTTGTCATCAGCAATAAGTGGGCCAAAGTGGTAGGGGTTGGAAAGAACTCTCTCTGGAAAAGAATGGAAAAGCAAATGACACATTCCCAGCCCTCCCCCAATGGAACTGGTCAGATGTTTATGACAACCAGCTCTGAAACTCTCCACCTACACAGCCCCAATGCCCTCCTGTGCACCTGTCCCACCTGAAATGGTGTACCCAGTAGCAGTCCAACATTGCTGACTTGCCCCACCCACAATGAATCCTAGCAGAAGTACCTCACATCACAGAAAGGACATGCAGAGGCCAGCTGTGGGGATCAGCCACTGCTGGCAGACATGTAGAAAGTTAGGCCCTCCCCACATCCCAACAACAGCAACTGCAGCTCAGCTACAACAGAGAACCAGGCTTTGGTGATCAGAGGATTTGGGTCTTGAGCTTCTGGAGCTCAAAGAGAGTTTCAATGAAGAGATAGAAAATGTACAAAAGAGTCAATCATAGTTGAATAATAAAATAACTGAAATAAAAAAAAATATAATAGAGGTAATGAGTAGCAGAATACAGAAAGCAGAGGAATGAATCAGCATGATGGAAGATAAAGAACTGCAGAGTAACCAAGCTTAGGAACAGAGAGAAAAAAAAATTCTAAAAATGAAAGGCTACTAAGAGAGCTATGTAACAACTCCAAATGAAGCATCATTTGTATAATAGAACTCCCAGTGAAGAAGAGAGAGACAATGGGGTAGAAAGTCTATTTGAATAAATAATAGCTAAAAACTTCCCCAGTTTTGGGAAAGAAATAGAAGTTCAGATCCTGAAAGCACAAAAAGGCCTTAACAAGATGAACCCCAGGAAGAAAACACCAAGACAGATAATAATTAAAATGGCAAAGA